TACGATAAAAGATCACCCGCCTTTATCTCTAATTTCAGACATTCCGATGAACTGATAATTATCATGGAAAATGATCCCATTACTGTTAAATTTAAATGTATATTCTTGATTTTTAAAATGGCTGTGCTAATTTCTACCCTCCTTGATTTTATCGTTTTGTGTGAATAACTATTATGATTGTATCGTGCCATTTAATACCGGTAAACGTAGTCAATAAAATATCCCTAAGAACAATAATATGCTTTATACTTATATATTTATATTTTATTCCAATTCGTCGTTATTTATATACATTTAATAGTTTTAGTTTAAATTAATGGATTATAAGACAAATAGCATTTCATTAGTGGATGCATATAAATTTTGTAGGATTATTGTGTGCTTGGAAAATACTGTTTCCTTTTCTATTTAGGACGGATTTTTTTCGTTCTCTGTATATAATTTAGCCACTCGATTGTTTGGCCAGTGAAGATACACTACCTTATCATTTAATCCCTTGACTAGTTAAATGAAATTATTATGTTCGCGACCACGCACACAAGTAACATCAAAAGGTTCCATTTTGTAAATTGAATTTAGTGTTAAAAGAAAAACTAAGTAAAAATATTATTGTTTCGTATACAGGTGTTTTATTTTTCTTTTATATTCAATACCGATAAGTACGATGACATGCTAACACATCGGACCGGATGAACTAACTATAACTATGAACTAACTAAATCCATCTTTCTAGACAAAAAATAAAAGTATCATCCTATATATGTCCCACTGCTGGCAAAGGCCTCCTCAGTACAGAGAGTGTGGCGTACTTAAATATTTTCGAAATATATTTTTATTTATTTCGAAAATGTGCTCACGCTGTTTTCTTTTGCGCAGAGCACGTGATAAGTCAGCACTTAAAATTAATAATTTCATTAGTGTTGTCACCGGGATTTGAGCTCTGGTACCCCGAGCATATGAAATAAAAGCGTCTTTCGGACGCTGAGCTAAATCCGCCAGATATGCATATTTTTCATTTATCTAGCCTGGTATGTAATATCGTATCGTGCTAATTAATAAAACCGTTTAAAAACTTAAAGTTAAACGGTTTTATTTTATGTGCACTGAAAACTACAATATTGTATTGTCATCTAAATTAAATGTGTGTACCAAATTTCAGATCAATCTGACAACGGGAAGGTGCTTAAATTTCAATTTCTAATTTTGACCCAAATAAACAAATAAATTCCGTACGGGTCGAGCTAAATAAAACCGTTTAAAAACCAGGCTAGGAGTCAAGTTGTTTTTTTAGAATCGCCAAGACTCCATTTATTATGAGCGAAGTTGGTAATTGAGCTAGAATTTAAAATGCTGGTGATTATAGACTATGAACCTCCATGAAACCTTTGGTATACAACTACTTTATTTACTACAAAATTTTAAGGAATATATACTACTATATGCTTCTTTAAGCCATACTTTCCCGGCGGGGCCGACTAATGTAATACAAGGGTTCAACTGACACGTACACACGTAAGAAAATTTATTATTTTAATCCAAATAAGCAACACTAAAGGTATGTTATCAGTTGTTAAATATTCTTCCATCACACATTCGCTTGTTTTACTTGTGTTTGAGTGTTTATTGTTATACAAAGTGTTTATTCTCACTGTTAGCTACTGCCGATGACTTGGCGGTCCAACTCAACGGTTTCAGCTACCTCGCTAACTGATATTGCGCGCCGTGTCGTGACGGGGCCGAAATTGTGTGACTCGCAAATATACTGTAGTCGGATGTAATGTGACAGTGAGTTCATATTTGTGAAACCCCCTGTGACTCTGGAATGAATTCCTCGGTAAGACTACCTATATAGTGGTCATTTATAGATTTATTCTCTATTGCAATCACATCAAACAGGGGTTACAAAGAGCGAACGTAACGCCTATAAGTCAATGATATTATATACAAATAAGACCATTATATACAAAACCGTCTTCAAATATATCGCTCAATATACATTTTCTATTCAACTTTGAGAAATTCCAGAGTGTATTTTTGGAGCCAAAGGACGAATATAAATGAAATTACTATGGCTAAACTGAATCCAATGCAACTTTTTTTAAATCGTTTCATACATAAAAAACGTATGCATAAATAATTTTTAACATCGGTTCTACATGACGGATTTTTGAGGTACCTAACCTAACAAACGTAACCGTTCCGCACCATTATCTATAAAAACGTCAAAAAAATCATGTCTTTTGAATGGAAGCCCTACTTAAATATTTTTGTATTCTGTTTTACAATATTTCTTGTTATGTCAGACAGACAGAGGAGTCTTATTAATAGGGTCCCGTTTTACTCTTTGGGTACGGAACCCTGCAAAACATGCAGTGGATTTGGCTCGTCGAACTCCTTGTTTGAAGTCTTTTGAAAATATGTAAAACGCTCATTGAATTCCAGTAGATTATAGTACATCCACAAAAGTATTCAATAAGTAATGACTTAAAAATTACGAGGAATGCCTCACGGACGAAACCGCTTTTATTTTATTATAATCGTACTGAGGGTCCTCTAAAGGGTTTGTTATGGTCGTTATTTCCTTCTAGCTTGGATAACCGCATCCGATTCATGTCTAGAACATTGAATTCCGACAGTAAAAATACCTCAATAACTTGACGGAGACATCCTACTTTTAAAAACATTGGGAATAACATTGTCTTGTGTTGTAAGGACGTTTTACATACATAAATTTCACGCGTACAAACACCCAGATGCGAAACAACTATCTGTGGTTCACACTAATAGTTGTCCCGTGTGGGAATCGAACCCACGACCCCCGACGACGAAGCTAATACCTTGGCAACTGACACGGAGTCATCTGAACGAAAGAAGAAGAATTACAAGTTATATAACGGGGAAGTTCTGTCATTTGCACAGCTGGAACAAAAAGCTATAGAAATAATACACGGTGGTCATTTTGATAATGTTATATATTTCGTGGAACCCGTAGCGTTTCTTAGCTGTTTTATATAAAATTTATACAAATAGATTATACAATATTTCACTAAAGCATTTTTTTATATTTTTTTTTATTCTTTACAATAATTTCACAGTTCCTATAATTTGTCAACACCTATAAATATAATTTAAATTCGTTAAAACTACTATCTTGTGTGAAAATTGGCACCATTATTATTTTGATATTCAGCACAGGTGTGCAAGTAGATCTATGTGATAAAACCGAAATCTCAAACAAAAGAGGCGTTTTCGATGTCCAATCCAACGTGAGGTTAAGAAACGCTAATAGAAATCTATAAATAGCTGAGATTCGAGCATAGAGAAGGCTTTTGATGAAACTAACGTATAGCAAAGTAAGTATAAACCGCTTCAACTTACAGAATATATCAGAAGTACGCGACTGAGTGAAGATAATTCTTTTTTTTTCACCTAATCACAGGCACTGGGACCGTTTGTACAATGCCACAGGCATATATAATACCGATTTTCCTTTCCGAAATAAATAAAACGTTAAAAAGTAACAAATAATAAATAGTTCGAAGGTGTACAAAAAAAATAATAAATCTTTATAAATACTTAAAACTAATTAAATTATATAATATATCGCTTAAAACTGAAACTCGCTATTGCGATCGAAACGGAAAGGAGCAAAGGCAACTGACGATTTTATTTTATTTTTTCGCTAAAAAAGCGTGATCGCTTTTACGTGAAATTATAATGTTTTTGAAAGGGATCTGAACTACACTCAAAGTCTAAACTCTGAAAATTTTCTATGATTGTACTTCCAATTTACGAGGAATTCCTTTGCTCCGTTTTTATGACGACTTACCAATATGGTTTAAATAAATCTAAGCATATGTGATGCATTAAATACAAAATGTGCAATTATAACTTAAGATAATAAAGACGAAAATACTAATAAACGGAAATAATGTGTCGCACATTAAATTCAACAAGTTATTGTCATAGAAAAATAATTTTCACAATGAAAGGATACACAATTTTTAAGTATAATAAAATAATGGATTCTCTTGTCGAAATTCGAATAAAATACATTTCTTTAATCAACTGTTAGTTTTAAACGTTCATTGCTGAAGTCAAGAAGTATTTAATATTTTGTAGGGTTGTCAGCAAACTGTTAATATAACTTAAAAAAAGATTTTAACATATTTCAGAACGAAAGAATGTTCGTCTTGAACCAAAAGAGACAATCCTAATCTTTATGTGGGTTCAACGAAATGTTATTGTTGAATGAAACGTGCGCAACACTTTAAAGTTTTTATGTATATGGTTTATATACATAAACGCAAACGCTTAATTATAATATAATACATAATTTAATACCATCAATAATAAAAGTAATAAGTCAAATACAGTGTTAGTTAAGGAAACTGAAGTTTATAAACGAGAGGCGCGAGAATTTTTCATTAAATACCGTGGAATGGCGTCGCAATATTTAAAATGAAGAAAATTCAGTCGAGGAAAGTGTTTTCACGAGACAGATAAAACGAGATGACCAGCATCAAAGCAAAGAAACATCTGCCTCTGTTATCTGACAATTTTCAAATACTTAGGTGTCCTAAACAATAAAACAAATATTTAATGTACTTTACACTTCAGCAGCACGCATAGGCTACCACTACAACTACTAACACATATTTAGCATTTTTGTTTTACTATTAAACACACAAATAGTCCTTAACTTTGTATACACATTATCTAATACAAATTATGATAACATTACAATTAGTTGCAAACATAAAAATACATTTATGTCGCGATAAAGACTAGAATACGTTGAGGATAGAAAGCAGACGTCAGTGTGGAGGAACTTGACAGTCGTTTCTGCTTTTGTTGGCAAAGCGGTGGAGTTATGTAGACCGTGACGAAGGCCGGAGCTCTACTATACTGTGGTGGCGCGTCAACTCGGTTGGGTTATACGTAATGGCGTCGTGTCAACGGGTGGCGCGAAATTTTTGGGCCGAAGGTGTTGTGCGTTAGCGTTTGCCGACGTAGTCGACCATCTGTTCTATTTCGTCCCTCTCGTCTGTGAGTAACAGGGCCTCCACACAACCCATGAAGTATTCCGATTGAAAACATTTCTGCCTGCGAACATAAATTGCACAAGTTAATCTCGACACCTTAGTCTCTGTAGCAGTTGCCCCGCACCATTTATAGAGGCTGACAGTTCGAAGATAGAAAGAGACAGATAGAGTTCCAAATAAGCTTTAGGTTTTAGTTATATACGAAAAGGTCAAAGCTTACATTCCTTTAAGATAGTGAACGCAAAATATGTTAGTGCTTGAGCACAATGGGTACAGGCGGCATCGTTAAATAATCGTTTCCTCGACAAAAGAACAGGAAATTGCTCAATATGATGGATAACATATCATAAGTGTTGTAAAATGAATCGTTACGACACAGAAAAGTATTAGCTGTCGCACTTAGTTGGAAAACCAGTGATTACATTTTCTTTGTTCACGTTTTACGACGAGTGCTGAGAAAAACTTAAATCTTTACAATAAATTTAAATTGATAGCGGTAAAATGTTACTGACGTAACCAAAGTGGTAAAAACTAATTAGTTCACATATCATTAGTGTTACGCGAAAGCACTTCGTGCCATAATATTATTGTACTAAGTTAACATAATATTACTTTGATACATCGTACCAATTTTTCATTGCTGTGTAAATTTTCTGTATATCTTTATACTAACGTTAGAAAATCGATATTTAAATTACTTTTATTACAGTTCAAGCGTTGTTGTTTCGTCGTGTTTGACCCAACATGTATAAGTCCGAATACGCAGAGCAAGCACAAACTGGTAAGTACAGATTCCAGTAGCAATCGACGACCAATGTAGATTGATATTATTTTGAACTGACACTTTAGTTTTCTATCGTTGCTCTCTTTTTTAGCCAACTTACCTGACCATCTCGTGTCGTAAGTATGCCAAACCTTTTCTTAAGATCTGCGTTAGTATCATGCAATAGTGTTAAGAGTTATTAAGTAAGGCCCTAGTGCTGTTAGTTATCACGAAGATTGTACTCCGATGCAGAAGGCGATGCGCGTGCAGCGTGTTGCATTAGTGAACCATAGAGAAGGGAGTCCGATTAAGAGAACCACAAGCGTCCAAAAGCCTAAGTCGCTCCCGAAAGAGCGAAATGGAAGACAGCGAAGCCAGATTGCGTTGAAAACAGGCGATTGGAAAGGTGTAGAATGCAATAATAATCATCACCTACAAGTTCCCATATGTGCGGCTACTAGTTTTCACAGAGCACACTCTATTCCATAATACGGAACTAGAGTATACCCACATTTAATTATATTCATGTTTCACAAACAATGATTTTCTATAATACTCTTTGACTGCGACTGTAGCCTTATTGATTACTATCTGAGTCATTTTACACTACTTTATAATTAAAATGTTACTTTTAATAAATGTTAAAATCGTAGAAAATTAAAATTCGATCGTACATGAGTATTCTAAAGTATTGTGTCTAAACTAAATGCCAGTCCAATGTAAGTTGGTGCTGAGAACAAATTTTATTATCTGAGAGAGGAACTATATATAACTAAGAGAGGAACTTCCAACAATTAGTATTGCGCCCCAACCGAGAAAAGAGAGAAGTGACATAAGAGATGTAAGGAGACATATAAAACTCCATTGTACCTAAATCCCAGGATCGGCCCCGTGTAACTGTTTAATATACGTCTTGAAGAGTTCGAGCTGGTCGGTTTCTTGCAGAACTTCTACGCAGCCCTTGAAGTAATCTGTCGTGAAACAGTCTTTCCTGTGCCCCAACAACGAACACAAACATTTTAATATGCGGGCTAAAATTCAAAACCAGCCGTGGCTTCACATGCTCAAAAAAGTAATGATCAATTATATTAAAATAAAAAAATATAACTAATTCCACGTTAATAGTTTAAAATCTCAAATCCCGGCGACATTCTCTATGGCAAATAGCCCGCCATAACGAATGTGGCAGGTGTAAAAACTGACAGGCCGCGGACACGGCGGATTTATGTTTACAAACGAAAAAAAAAAACAAACTTAATTCGAAATTCGAATCGCGACAGCTACCTGCAGAGGTTGTAGAGCGAGGGCTCCCTGAAGAGGTTGTAGCAGTCGTCGCAGATGCGGTCGAGGCGGGCGAATATGGAGGCGTCGTAGATGCCCTTGCACTGCAGCTTGAAGAAGGAGCGGCGCGCCACGTGGTGGGGGGCGGGGGGCGAGGCCGCCGCCACGCCGAGCACCAGCGCGAACACTGCCGCCAACGCCACACGCACTGAGCTTAGATGCATCTGGAACAATGCAATACACTCATTATCATCCGGGAGGCTACAAAAGACTTCCCAGATGTTTACGAGGGAAACACGCAATTACCCTGAATCCTTAGAGGTTTGGTTAAGGAGAAACTAACTACTCGGGAGTGTGTAGCAGGGCCTGAGACAATAATTTAAGTATAAAAGTTAACGCACACCATAATTTCGTTTTTTTCTTGCGAGGGGTTCATTACCAGAATGACGTATCCTTGTCTAGATGAGTGCAGTGTTGAGCGCTTAGCCAGATAAAGGGACGATCTGACCCACAAAAAAGTAGTCTAATATTCCTCGATATATAAAGATATTTCACCCGTATCCTTCATGCTGTTTAAAATGCTAAAGTATAAACGGTATGCGACCTGAAGACTTGAACCTCTCAATTCTAAAATTAACTTATCGCGCCGAGAAGTACAGTTAAATTGAGCGATATCAATTACAAAAGACAGTTTTTGAGCGTGTAAAACGAACTCTCGACTGGTTCCCGCCGCGATAAATTTCATGAACAGTTACCTCATTATTACAGATGAAAATAAATTCACTCGGCGTAGTGAAAGTACCGATAACAGAGAGAACCTTTTGTGTGTGCCCGCGCCGACGCAGACTTTAAAATAAACGAACGACTATCAATGACTTTTGCACTTGAAGAAGTAGAAGCACTTTATAGGTATTTAAAAAAAATGTTTACCTATTGTAGGTTAGTCAGCTTACAATATTATTTTAATACAAGACTAGCGACCCGCCCAGGCTTCGCATGGGTGCAATGTATTGTACATATAAACCTTCCTCTTGAATTACTCTATCTATTAAAAAAAACTTCATCAAAATCCGTTGCGTAGTTTTAAAGATCTAAGCATGCATAGGGACAGACAGACAGCGGGACGACTTTGTTTTATACTTTGTAGGGATTAGTCAGGTGCGTAATAATTCCGATTGGTATTTGAACGAGCCAAATCATAAGTAATTTTTATTAATTTTTAATCTGACTACCCTCTAACGATTCAAGCCTTACCCGGGCAGTTCGACCCATAGATAAAAATAATGGGCGATTTGACGACAAACAAAGTTCCTGTTCTGTCGATACAAAAATTGCCTTTTAAGATTTTTTTAAGTTGTGATTTTATTACATAGAATTACAACAAGCAATAAACTTATTGCTTGTTGTAACAAGCAATAAGTTACAATAAAGCAAGAAAAATATACGGTATTAATTAAACCTCAATGCATTTTATAGCGAGGTGACATTTTCTCTCACAGACTGTGTTAGTAATTTTGCGTGCAAGATAGTTCTCAATCGAACACCGATAGTCGGGCGAAGCAAAAGGTAGATGACTAGTATAATATTTCACGTGTTTTTAACGAAGAGGCGGGGTTGCCCGACTAGATTTACTCGCATCGACGCAGTGTGGTGTAAGGGGGCAGGCACAGACAACTTAAACGACAGACTAAACATACCGGACTATCATTAACGACAATCTTATAGCATTATAGCACTCTTATAATATTTAAATTAAAATAATTACCGTTTAATGCACTGCAATAAATATTAACATCTAGAATAGAAAAGTTAATTTTTAAATTGTAATTTTTGAGAGTTGCGTGTTAAAGGTTGACAGTAGCGGTAACTGTATTAAATAATGGGGTTTATGATTTACGACTGTCATTCCCCTACGTGTAATGACTAAAACCTTGACATTGGCGCAATTGTGATAACTTATGAAACGAGTCATTAATAAAAAAGAAGAAGTAATGCGGAAATATAGATAACATATGATTATTATTCAAATAAAAAAAAATATTGGTGCGTTCATAGTTGTGTCCCGTTAATATCGCTACACCGCTATAGTGTGGCAGTTCCTTAAAGCTATATAACGCTGTTAACCTCCTTCTCTGTACTTGTTAAGTGCTCTGAGAGGGCGATTAAGTAAAACAGACAGCCGTGGAGAGTAAACTGCCGCACGATTAAAGCTCGGACCACCGCCGCCGCTCCAGTTTGAGGTTGTAAGAAATACTTACTCTAAGATTGAATCAGGTATACGATATTTTTCTTTAAGAATCTAATTAATTCGTAATTCTGTTGAAATGTTTCTAGAAAGTACAAAGTGAATGAAAATGCTTTAATCTTATTACGGTTTTGGTGGTCATAAATTGTTTTTGGTATTAATAACGTGTCCTCCAATAGTTATGTTTAGCCGAATAGTTTGAAATTTCCATAAAGTCAGCACTAGCTATAGCTTTAGTGAGTTTACAACCATTTAAGCTCATTAAGGCTAAAGTAACGAGGTCGTAAACTCACTTCGGCTAAAATGGCTAATAATAACGGAGTCCATGCCAAAGAAATATCAAGAGATCGAGGGTGATTACTGAAATAGCATTCTAAAAGACCCATGCGAATCTCAACAGCGGCGGTACCTAAATTCTCAAAAAATTAGGATGTTACGCGGCGCGTCGTGTGTGGGAGCTCTCGACGATACGTCGAAAACTGGACCGGTTCTATAGAGTCCTGCATCGGAATAATAAAACCTTAGTTATGGCTGAATGCGTTGCATTCACGATCCATCACTCAATGGTCGTTTCTGTAGACGGCATGCCAGCCGACGAGCAATTCCATTTTACGACTGTTAGCGGAACATATTTGGATAGGTCAGGGATTATCCCACTGCTGCTATAATGATCAAATCTGTGTGAAAAAATTATATGTCTGTGAAAGGGGGTGAGTAATGAGATCGCGATTGATAGGGCAAAGTGAAGGAAAACACATTTTGTGCCAACCCTACCTAGTGTAGCATAAGGGCAGGAGAAAGAAGAAGAGCTTTAATGATCAAATGATAAAAGATTTACAAAAGCGGTAACAAGCTATAGCATCGTTTGAAATCAAGGCAGGGTGCGTAATTATCACTACTGAGTAACATCCCAAGCCAAGGTCCACTCTCGAGAGCTCAAAGCCTAGTTCCTCTATGTAGCGTCTGCCGACCTGAGAGCTTGGCGGCAGCCGAAACCGGTGCAAATAACAAAAGCGTGACGGCTCGAGCTGAGGCTCTCTCGGCAGGCCTCGAGACCCATAATCGAGGTGCCGGCTAGGCGCCCGCAGCACTCGGCCACCTCAAGCCCGGTGGATCTGTAAAGGCTTTTTTTTCACAGATATTTAAAACACCGGTTGCAAATGTGTTGCCTTTTAATAATGTTGGCCCCGGTTATCTCACTCAACAGACGAAACGCAGAAGTGTAACTCCTACTACTTCACGCCGGCCTTCTGTGAGCTCGTGGTACTAACCCGGACGGACCTGCCCATTAGTGCAACAGCGAATACTGTTGCGTGGTCCTACCGCAGTAAATCACACAGTAGATCCAGCCAAAACCCATCACTTTGCACCGCGTTCGAACGATGATTGACCAATATGGTGTTCGGACTGTACGGGCCCTCGTGGCGGTCTGGAGGCGCGTGGGACCCGCTCGGGTGGTCGCAAGGAGGCTTCGCCCCGGCCCTGCCGAGTAACGAGGCGTGCGAGGCGCCCGGGGCTTTTCGATTCATGCCCGCTCTGTGATAAAGTTATTATGCGGCCGATCTCGTTTCGCATGGGAACCGAGCCCTAATGAGCCAGTTCGCCGGGCCTGGTTATTTTTAGACTGGCAATTTGATTGAGCGCTCCTTAAATAATGCCGCGGCGGTGGTGGCGGGTGGGCCGCCTTTTTGTATTTAATAGGAATGGTGATCGAGCAAGTGTCAATGGAAATCGCCGTGGGCATGCACGGCCACGTGCCGAAGAGTAGGTGCGAGCGTCTTTGCTATCAAATGAACCTTTTCAAGATCCTCGATGAACTTACGAATCATGAGCTCCAAACGAGGTTTATTACTTATCATGAATTCGTATTGCTTACGATGTATTGTTTGAAAAGGCACGGTACTAAAACTACCAGTAAACACATGATGGACATAAAAATGGCTAAATGAAAACATTTTAAGATATTCGTACGTATAAAGAGAAATAACTTTTTGTGTCAATGGATTAACTGCATTTATTATAATTTGCATATTTCAAAAGTGAAAATATCTACGTATAAAGTAGCACAGATTACGAACTCTTCATGCAGTGAACTGCCAAATGTAAATAAACAACAATTTTTTTAATCTAACAGGCCGATGTCGGCTCGCTAAATGGATTGGAAAAATGCAATTATGGAACCAATAAAGTGTAACAGGCCAGGAATCTTTGAATAAAAAAAAAATACTGTCTTATTAAACAATTAAACAACACTGTTCGAGGTACGCTCCTTCGCGGGACGATAATTAGGCAGTTGGAGTAATTGCTATAGAAAAACATTTAATCTGTGCACAATTTACAACGCGCCATTCTTGGCAGACGATTGTGGGAAGTCAGCGGCTCGCTTGGGTGTTCTGACGGCACGGAATGAAATTTAAGTGTGCATAGATAATAAAATACTAACCCTTCTCTACAATCAATATAATTATATTCCTTTATAACTATCACAAGTATCGTCATTTTACCAGTTCCGTTGATATTAAATGATGACAGCGTTTCATATTGACGTATGGTTTGTGCTTAGTTATTTTGAGAGAGATATTTAACACGTACAAAGACGCTAATCTTTTCATTTTGCACCCTCTTGTGTTAATAATTACTGCAGCTAGCCACTACACACCGTGTAGCAAGGAATGGCTGTGTTAGTAAAATTGTTAATCGGTTAAAATTTCACGTTCAAAACTCAAAGAAATATAACATATCACGTAGTTAAGAAAAAAACGTACAATAGAGTGCATAAAGGCTGAGCCCTTCTTCGAGAGAAATATGATTACCGCGGCTCGCTGCACAGATACTTGGAAAACGAGGTGAGGGCGCACCGCAATTGATCAAATACCAAGGTTTCTAGGAGTGAACGCACCTCTACGTCACCGCGCTCGCTTGGCGCGGAATACTAATGGCGCGCATCGCAGACTGCTCGGCAGCGGGGGCACAGCTGGCCCCGAGAAATTGGTCCTCCGAACCGGATCGGTACGGTGCGCACACCCCACTTTTTAGACCGATTAGATAAACCGACACGGCGCTATTAGCGGCCGCTTCGGCATAACTGCGTTACGTAAATGCGCAGAAACGCGTGTGGAAACACTACCGCCAGAATGCAAGTCACCGTGTGACGCGACAGTCGAGGTCCCTACGAGGTGGTTGTAACGTTAAAGGCTAGCGCCTATAAACTCTCGAGCGAGTAGCGTTGTAATAAAAAAAAGTATGTATATACTTATTTATGTACTTCAGAAGTTATACTTGTTTCAAAATTTTATCCCCTGTGCGAGGAGTCTATTGGAAAAAAGGATATTAAATGCAATTGCTAACGGTTTAGTTAAATAACTCGGAATTATAAGCAAATATCAAAAAGTTTTTATTGGTTGCCATGGTGATACCGTGTAATTCACGAAGTTGATGATGTCGCTTTTTGGCTGTCCGTGTCATATTTATTTCCAAACCACCAAAAGCAGTGTAACTTTTAAAAAGACATTGTATATAGATCCAACATATACGTAAAGTCAATGCGAAACTAAAGTATTTAAGCGTTGCCGCAATAAATATGGCGATTTTATTTTGTTTACTAAAACCGCGACACGCATACAACTCAATGTAAGCTGCCATTTTAGCCGGGTCCCTACCACGCGTGCACCTGCTGCTTCGATACGAGTTTCGGAGCTCACGTTTAAGTGGACGTTGGCTATAGACAAAATGGCACCGCCACCGTCAATTTGCAGCTTAACTAGCATTCCGTCGTTGCTGCACTTAGTAAATTGCACAGTATTGCGTCTTACATCTTCATTCGGTGTACTCAACATGGTATTTTAGTGCTTTGCGGTGTTCACTTTGAAGTTTCACGTCGTTTTGTTCACTTTTTGAAGCATAAATAATAAGACCGCTGCGAATTCGAAAACGTCTTACACAATTTTATTAAGGCTATTATTTTTCTTTATTCAAATCACAATAGCAAATACCCCACTGGTTCGTACAGATTGAATATAGAATATGTGGCAGTGTGTACGTGTGTATGCATGTGCGTAGTAAACAGAAACACGCGTTGCGATTTCAAATGAGCGCCGATTGCGTAAAGGCATTGATGTAAAGCGGCAAAATGTCATTACACCCGCCTTTTCCTTTTTCGAAGCCTACTTTTAAGCTTCTAGATCTTTCACGATACACCTAACAACCAATTAGGCGCTCAGACGACATGAAAGATAAATTTAGCTGCTCTCAACAGAACGAATAAACGTTACGAGTTACGCTGCGCAGATTTTCAAAAATGGAATACGATTTGAATAACGCGTGTACGATAATCGCAACTAATAATAATGTAGAAATAAAATCCGCCATCTATGACAGCGTAAGGGATGAGTTGATACATTTTTCTGCGTTCTGTGTTGCTTCTTGTCATGTATTTTTAAACGCAGGTGGAATATGATGTTCGTATTCAAACAGGTAGACAATAAGCGGCTATCACAGTCCGATCGTGGGCCATTGTTGCCAGTGTTAACCTTCAGGCCGACCTCCGCGCGGCCTTAGCGGCGAATCTGTCCGGCCGCTCTCACTTCCTAGTTTCATCAGGGATGTACTCGTTTACGAACGGTAAAGAAAACCCCAAAACGATATTTAGATTTGGAACAAAAAGTACTCCTTAAAATGTCCTGTGAAAGACCCAATCACCGAATGGTGTGCTAGTAATTTTAACACATAGATTTTTTTTTTCTAAAAAGGTTAAATAGAAAAAAAAAAACGGTTTCCTTTGTGAAACGAATGAATGAAATCAAATATTTCAAATTGTTTCGTAAAGCTCATTTGTTTCCTTAATTTAATCTATGGTCGAATATTAATGTACGAGGAAACCTGCTACTGTATATGTACGATGCGTCACATTCATTGACGAGAAATAACTACAATGATTTACTCATTAAACGTTAAAATGTTATTTTTAAAACTTTAAAATGTCGCCATATTTCTTAGTCAATCTATTTACAATTTTCTAACTTATTCTTCTTCCTTTTTACGATATTTCTATATCCGTGTCGAGTTTAATTAAAATAACCGAACCTGTTTTCTTTCCTTCCACGTTCCCCAAATCTCTGAGTCAGAACATTGAGTGATCAGATCTCATGCTATTGGGCTTAGTCATCGATACCGATACCGTTTTCGCCCGGCGTTACCGTAAATATAGTTTTGACGTTAAACCAGTCGTAATATCGGATTTCCTGCCCGTTGCACCTCCAGTTTGTTAGTGTGTCGGGCGCCATCGGATACTCTGGAATGGAATTGGCGCTGCGTCTAAAATAGCGGACGACGTCAACGCGCGGTTGAACTTTGAATGGGCCATGGGGTTCGGCCGATGCAATTAGAAGCCGGGCCAGTTGTGTTTCTGCGAAATGACACACTAAATGAGTCGCATTTGTCTTCGCGTTTGCGACGTATCGTTGAGATAGGTCTGGCATGTCAAATAGAACGGGGTATACAGTTAAAGAGTAGAGCTCGAATACACAGTGGATCCCTTGGCATGATAAAGGCTATTTAGGTATTAACCGACGTTTAGTAAGTAGTATAACAGTCGATTACTACCTAGTTCTTTATGCAAGACCTCTATGTATCAGATCCTATTGGCGTAAGCTGTGTACCCTTTGCCGTCTAATCGGTATAGGATCATGGTAAATCTTTCCAGAAGCCGTCGTGAACCTAAGCTCGGACAAAAAGCGATTGGACCGTCACTACCTAGTTTCCTAAGGAGATAAGAGATGTATAGCATGGAATCAGTAAACGTATATCATTTGTTTTAGCAGACGTTTCACGCGATTTTAAGAACGTGATTGTCGATCTGGATTGCAGTCGCACTGGGTTGCAGATACAACTTCCTCTTTAGACTCGGTGGGAGCATTTATACTTTCACATTCCGCCTTTCGTGTGAGATAACCAGGCCGGGTCTTTATAGGCAAAGGCTTATGGGAGAGCACTATCGTTCAACATCAGTCGAACCGTCTGAACGCTCTCCGGCGCACTCGATTGACGAAACGCATGAGTGAGAACACTTTTACTCCCCCCCCCCCCCCAGCTCGACATTGGTCGCATTCGGTGACATTGACACGGAAACGTCACGCAAGGCGGCCGGGGCACAGCTGGCGTGACGCTCCGAAGCGGCTCCGTCAATTGGGCGGGCCGGAGCCGCGATGGCCGCCCGGGCCCCGCCAATGAGGGGCAATTAGCCACGTGCGCGCTATGTAGGACATCGGGGAATTACAGCTGAAACCGACCGGTGACAAGGCGCCGACGTTCGGAACGATTGCGAAACTTAACATGCCACATTGTGTGGCCCTTGTGAGGGTATCGAGCGTTGATGCTGAATCGTTATCGAAGCACCGCCGTGTGTGCCTTTTCGAACGCAATGTCGAAGAGACGTTCCAAAAGATTGTAGAACGATGCGATTTCGCTCTATACTTTCTTGTTAATTTCATTTGAAAGATACAGCACTGTAGTAGGGCCGCGCGACAGTCTTCACTATTGCACTAATAGGCAGGTCCGTACCGGAGGTACCAGGACCTCGCAGAAGACCGGCGCGAAGTGGGAGTGTTATACGCGTATCGCGTATATCGCGTTTCGTCTGGTGAGTAAAGTTGTCGGGTCCCACTTTATAAAGTGGCAACGTATCTGCAACCCTACCGGTGTTGCTAAGTTGAAGTCCATGGGCGGCGGTTATCATTTAACTCCACGTGTATCGCCGGCTCACTTGCCATCTTCTCCCATAAAAAAACAAACGTTCCGAGTTGCAAATACTGGATAGGAAATATTTAAAATTGAAATTAAAAGAAACAAATAAAGAACGTATAACAGATACGATGGCACTGTTTCAAGTTTCAATCACAAGTTGTCCTGGACGCTTGTTTCAACATACTATAGACTAAAGTCTTTTTTACGGCGGTAAACAAACTGCTTATCTATTTGTCTATGGTGCGCCTATAGATAAAGCAGAAAAAACAGTTAAATAGAACCTTTGGAAGGTTCGTGCCTTCGTCGCTTTTAACAGTTTTTCCTCCGCGGATGTTTTATAGTAGCAAAAAGATGTTCAAATTAGTAGCGTGCGGTATTTACGCGGTCCGGTCGAGTTGTGAGGTTACTTGAAACTCGTATCACCGAGTTCACCTCGGAATTATTGCCACATTAACTAGGATATGTAATTACGGCGCGACCTGTCTTAGGTACTTTTATGATGGCGACATCGAACAGATCTAAGCGGGTATACTTAAACTTGAGGGAGTGTATTTTCATGTAAACTTAAAGAACACTTAAGAACTCATCAGAATCGACTAAGACTACAAAGTTCGAAAGTAGTTATGATATTCACTTTTTTATGTGGTTTCATGTTATCTTTGCAATTCCTGCGTTCATACCTCTTACTTACTCCATTGTTTCGGCCCAGCTCTCCTTATAGGTCGTTATTTATTAGCTGGCAACAATTCTCTTGTTGCAATTGAATAACAATTCCACCGTTATCGTTGTAAATATATTATAAATCCTTAAGCGAAGTATTGCTTCTCTTTATGGGGAATATACAAATTATAACTTATAACCGGCTACATAGCCGGTTATAGCCGGTGCATATGCAAAGCTATATTAGATTACTATTAAGGACCATATCCAACCCTATGGGTAGTTTATCGGTTACCTCTTTCATAACTTAACGATGCATAAACAATACTTCCACTATATCGGTCTTCAGAGCTAAACATAAGCCATGCCGAGCTGCCAAGTTATAAAACTACCTCTTTACTATGCTTAACCTCATACCAAATCGATTCAATCTGCTTAAAATTTACAATTTATTATTATATTCTCTCGGTTTGGAGTGCGTCAGCTTTATAATTTAACAGCTGACGCCACTTGGTATTTTAAGAAACAATGAGAAAGGCAAAGCGTCCGGCCGGCCGCCTCGTCGAGAGAAAGGAATCCTTAATTAATATTTCCCATCGGAAAGAACGATTCGCGAGCGAGTTAAGACAAGCGATCTTCATTCGCCGCAAACTGACCTGATTGATAGGCTAACCGCGAAAGATGCGAAATCGTGTGTTGCCTGAATCTTTATAACTGTTCATCGAGAAATATTTGAAAGAGTGTTAGTAGAAAGTGCGAAGCGAATCGTCTGCCATGGTGCCATTTTCGAAGTGGCGTGCGTCCGCAATCGCTTGAGCGGGCTGTACGCGCCTCGCCGTCTGCCGCCGCAAGCCGCTCTGTCACACGCGCCCGCTAAGTACTTGTATATAATCATGTTGCATCGAGACTACGCGGAATGAATTATGCATGTGTTTCACCTGCAGTGTGGTTTCGAGCGGCGAAAAAGTACGAGACGGACGCACACATAGCAAGATTGGCGCGTTCACAGCGAAATCGAAATATCGTGCGTTTGACATTTGTTTTCTTTTTAATTTGATCACTAAAGGCTGCCGGTGTCAGTCACCAGCCATGATATTACTGCGATTAAGATGTTCAAGTTTCTAAATGCCGTACAGGTAAATTTATAGGATTATAATTTTTTTTTTAAAACAATACATAATTAATAGCGTACTTTCTAAGTTTCTTTTCGATCTTCCGTTTTTAATAATAAGTGTTGTTTTGTATAATTTTTAGAAAAAATCACAGAAATGACATGTCCCAATGTTCAAAATATTCAAGTGTTGCGATGTTATCTACGAGAGACAACCAAAGGTATTACGATATCTGTCGTTGACTCTCACATGATCGTTTACGAAGTCACTTACCTCAAGCGACGCAGGTGGCAAATGGGGGCAGCGACTATTTTGTACTTAACAAGTCCTGGTTTATAAATAAACTGGACCACTTTTATATAAGCGCGACGAGTAATGATGCTATTGTGGCGAAAGGCTGTACTTGATTATTTTTTTCTTCTGTCACGTATTTACTCTGTGCTCACTGTCAAAGTATATCCTGCGCGGTTACGGCGACGCGGGAAACCGGCAAACTGAACTCGAACCTGCTAATTTGGCGGCTAAATTGGGCCCGGTGTTTGTTATGAGTAATGATCGATGTAATTTCGTAACGAAACGTATTCTTAACTGTACGGGCTGCATTGTGCGCCCGCGGCGTGATCGGCATAGACAAGTTATGTGCAAATTGTTGAATTTGCATCCAGCATTGTCTGCGCGTAATAAAGGTGAGTAACACGCGCGGAATTCGCTGACGATCTATCGGTTATGTATGTATGTTAATATTAGATTTATGTATGTTATGTATGTATGTTAAATTTGACGCATCGCCTAGCTCACTCTTGGTATTTTAAGAAATGAAATAGGGATAAAGTAAATGTAATAAATTTTAATCAAAATAATTACCGTCCATTTGAATTTAATTAAATTGAAATACAAGTTATTTTAGTTCATATTTTCTCATAATGAAACATAAGTCTCGCTTACAAATTAAGTGAAACTTATAAATCGACACTACATTTGAATAACGCGAAACGTAATGGAAGGCTTATTTAAATAACAACCAATTTACAATTACAGAAAGGACACGTACAGTCGCTATAATTTACGTACGGCCAATAGTCGCTGGTATCGACAGGTATAACGAGAGTCAATAAAAACGAAGGTAAGTATTGGAAAATTGTCGTTACAAAGTGGCTAGTTCGGCAGGAAAGCCGCGGAACGTTCTAGATCGTTTATATAAACTGTGCACTGTTATTCGTTTTTTTGGAGCACTTGACAACGTCGCTGCAATCTGCTTGCGGATCCTTGGATGAATTAAAATCGTCGAGCCTTAGCAGATAACCTGTTTACCAAAGCATTAAGACCTTATTGGATGTTGTTCTGAATAAAGGTTATACCGCTATTTTTGGGACATCACTAACGTTAATTGTGCGCGGTATTTTATCGATTAATTGAACAATGTAACGAAACTCGGTGATACATAAATAAAATAAATATATTTTCTATAGTCGAATATTATAATTAACAGAGTAGCTGTTGAGTAAAATATTAATATAGATTGATTGACATATTTTTATTTTACACAACAAAAAGCCATAGACAGTACGCATACGTCACTTATCTTTTGTGCCTAGGCCCACCCTGAAAAGGCAGAGCGAGAAAAAAAAAAGATAAAAGGTGTTCACGTCTACTTCTGCGCGGGCGCTGGCTGGCATTAATCACAAACGTTCGTACCGCGATACAGATTAAAAAAATAAATAAATAAATACATAAATGGCGCTTCTTCGGCAAGTGACGTTTTGGACGTCGTTAAAGATGACACGGCCTTTATGAGTAGGGGCGTATGAGCGAGAATCGAGCGGACGATTCAACGACGAGTGCAAACTTATGCTGGCCGGTTAAAATAACCAGACGGACTGGTTGGGTCTAGTGCCGTTGAACCGCACAGGTGGGCCTTGGATTACGAGAGATAAATTTAATACAGCATAATAACAGAGCCTTTACCGATTGACGCTTAAATATAGTCACTGCACCGGCTGAAGCGGAGAGGGAAAATGAAGGCGTGATTTAATAAAAAGATTTTAAATTCATACTAAAATACCTACATTTCTTTAAATAGAATTTTACCTTATATATATACAGCTATTTCTCCAAGGCTACGGATGTTTTAGACAAAACAAAATTTTAAAGTGTAATTAATACACAATACAAATATGCTTTGGGGAGTATTTACCTGTATATTTAATCTTTTTCCTGTATGTATTTATTCTAATATTAATAACGGAATAAACGTGGAAATATCATGTTGACGAAACGTGTTTTTCTTTTTTTTTTTCGAAATGACCAAATTAGGTTTTTCCCACTTGAAAAACACGTTCCACATTTAAGAAACCTTCATTTTTATTTCGTGAGTGTTATTCGATCTGGAAAACACTTATTACTTTCAATAATCTTACAAGGTTATAACAATACAGATTTAAACTGATTTCGACGAGTATTCTAGAAAATTTTATTAACTTTTCATTGATGTTATTTTTATAAATTTCGTCGGTAACATTGACAACATCTTGATCGTTATGTGTTGTACTGTACACGTCTAGTGATGTTTATGAAAAATTAAAAGAACACATTTATTTACTACTAATTTGATTATATTTTACGTCCAAAATAAATTGTCACACCAAAATTAAAATATTCAGACTTTCATTGATAGAATTCGCGACGAACGCTTGAAATTTCGACATTGTGGTC